CATATTCGATGTTGTCTTATTGTCTACATTCCGAAGATTCCCGGCCGATAATTTCCGGGCCGGCCCGTATCACTAAACAGTGTACGAGGAGATAAAGATAAACTTAGAGAAGCGAAGAGGGTCTTCTATATTTGTTAGAGGACTAATTGTTCAATATGACGCTATGGAGCGAATACCTTAATATCAATGGGGATGGTGAGGGGTGATGCAATGACGGGTGATGCTATTAATAGTAATGATCAAGGAGGTGTTATCAAGGACAATGATGATAATTTTAAGGGGTATCTTATTAAGGATGATGATGAGACAAAAGCGGACGATGACCAAGTGATATGGGTGATAACTTTAAGTTATCGTGATGGATCAACAGGTCCGAATAACCAGTCGCAGGTGTCGTTCCCTACCACAATTTTTGCAAGTCACTAATGTGAATGGCAATATCTGATTCCGCAACCGTTATAGAATTCGAGTCTCAATAAGCCGAATCGTCTCGAATGGTTTATTAAAGTTACAAGTCGAATTCAAAAGACAATTCACAAGAGAATATTCAGATAAGTATATACTTTATTCAAGCGAAAACGAGACAAATTATTTAAGAATGGAATGGTATTTTGTATTTAATCATAAAATAGAACTGAAAAATTCCGACTTTCTGGCTTTAAACTTTAGGTCTTTAAATACATTTTCAATTTTGGCTATTTTTACACTACTTTCGCTTCGTCTACGCAATCTGGCACGTTTACACACCCATTGTTTAAGCTACTCCTTGGGTTCATAACAGTAGGTGATCCTAACAAGTCCAAACAGCTACGTTTACACCACGACGGCTACATTCACTTAGCCATGGGGATGTTTACTCCCCCATTCTCTAAGCCTTTTCCTTGTGATTATGCAAGTAGCCTATTGTAACAGGTTCAAACAGCTGCGTTTACGTATCCACTGTCGCGTTCTACGCGCCTTGAGTTACATTCATATGATTAAGCCACCCAGTATAAGTTATAAAATGTCTACCGCTACATAAAAGTAATTAATAAATATACCATTGTTACCAAAATTGATGGGGAATTACTGATAAGTTATGTACATGTGGATGATCTACCGACAAAGATAAAGACTTATTCACAAAAATATAGAAAATTAAATTTTAATATGTTACACTACCCCAAACAAATTTATAAACAGAAACAGAAATGACAGAGGGCTACATATTAAGAAATTATTTTCAATGTGCTACTAATTTACTGTATGCATTTTGAACAGTATATATTCAAGCTTGGTTTGATTTTGTCTGCTATTTCAAGATGTCTGTCACAATTAAGGAGACCCTTTACGTTAAGCCAGCCAGGCCAACGAAGCATGGTCAAATTCCGCTTTCTAATTGTGACATTATCTTTCCAGCAGTTTATGTCGGGCCCATTTATTTTTTTAAAAATGTCTTAAAAAAAGACAATTTTATGAACATTCAAAAACTTTTAGCATCACTTGGAGATGTGTTAAACGATTATTATCCTCTGGCTGGCACACTTAAAAGTGCATTTGATGGTAGACCTATCATCGACTGTAATGATCGTGGTGTTCAATTTATCGTTGCTGAGTGTTCTGGTATTACAATCAATCACCTTGAAGAAAAGAATTGGGAACATGCAGTTATTCCTCGCGGATTAATGCAAACAGAAAATATGTGTACTGAAATTGATCCAATTCTATTTAAAATACAACACACTACTTTTGTTGATGGAACCGTAGCCCTTGGTTTTGCTATACATCATCAAATTATGGATGGTTATGGTCTATTTACTTTTATTAAAAATTGGGGACGAAGAGCTCGTTTAGAACAGATTGACCCACCTATTCACGATCGAAATTTGCTAAAAGCAAGTGGTAATCATTCAACATATGTTCCTTATGAATATTTTGTAATGAAACCGACTGAAATTATTTATCCACACGCACTTACAAATAAGTCTTTAACTACGAAAATTTTCCGCTTTTGTCAAGAAGATCTTAAGAGATTACATATTTATTATTCTGCTGGTATTCCTAATGGGTGTTGGATTTCAACAAATGATGCACTTGTAGCTCACTTTTGGAGGACAATCACTAGAGCTCGAAATATTGATTTAAACACTGAAGTATTTTGTAGCATTGCTTTTAATGGACGTGATAGATTAAATCCACCTATTCCAAAAAGTTATTATGGAAATGTTGTTTTGTAAATATATTTATTTGCTTATTATTATTATTATTATTTTTGTTTTAAACTTAAAATAACTTTAAAATTATTTAATTTTATTTATGTTTAGCCAAGTATGTCAAAAAATGCTTGTATCTCAATTGATTAACGGTTCACCATCTTCAGTAGCACTTCAAGTTCGAAAGGCCATTACCGAAATAAATGATAGTCATATGCGATCTATAATTGATTGGGTTGAACAACAACCAGATAAATCATTGATCTCTGAATGTATTATGTTCAATGGCGAAGATTTTGGAATAACTAATGTGTCAAAATTTCAAAAGTATAACTTAATAGATTTTGGCGATGGAAATCCTATAAAACAGAGACGTAGACAAGAATTTGCACTTGATGGGCATTATATAGTACAGAGTACTGAGACAGATGATGGAATAGAAGTTTACTTTAATTTACAAACTGAAAAATTGGAAATCATGGAGCAGGATCCTGAATTTAAGAAATTTATTGTCTTATAGCATAGTTTCGAATAAATGCCTCCAGATTTTCTGCTCTTAGATCAATCCATAAAATTTTTTTATTGATTTTTTATTAAAAACTAAAGATCCTGTGCTCGTAAGCATACATTAAAATATAAAAAATTGTAACAAATATTCTAGAGTTATTAGACAAATTCTAAAAGTTTTATCAGTGATAAAAGCCAAACTAGACCTTCCTAAGTGCAAATGTATTTCAGGTTCCAAGTCGTGCATTGAGAAATTTGATGTATAACCTTTTGCATCATTTTTCTTTGTGTGTATCTATCTGTACGTACGTAACTATTTTACAAATATTTGCCTAAATTAAAAGATCTCTACTCTTTGTAGAGTTTGGATCCGGTCATCAGTTTTCATATTAAATTTGACGGATATCCGACGGATTTTACTATTAAATTTGCATTCAACGGATAACCGGATCCAAGCTCTACCTCTTTGATTTAGATCAACGTACTGTTTTTAGGCAAAACTATTTTTGGCAAATGTCAAATGTCGAAACTAAACCCAGCGAAAGTCAAAACTGACAAAACTCTGGTGAAACGGCGAAACTTTGGAAAACCCCCTGGTAAAGCTAAAATCCCTGGAGAAAGTCAAACATTGTGAAGATTAAATCCTCTAAGACTTTAGAAAAACTAAGCATGTTGGTAAAATAAATATTTTGTGTATGACTATTAAGCACCGCATGTGGTTTATAATATACGAAAGCAATAAACTAAGCGATAGCCTTTTGTTTGTATTCAAGTACAGTCAGACCTCTCTAAATGCACGTCGTTGGGACCAGCTTCAGAGCGTGCATTTAGCAATTAAAGAACACTAATAAAATCACCATGTGACTATTATCACATGATAAACGTGACTTTAATAGCTTAGAATAATGGATTTGATTGGTTGATAATCACGTGGATGCATTTATAGAGGGAGTTTTTATAAGTGGCCAGACCATTAGCATGCATATACAGAATAAAGAACGTGCATTTATTTATAAGTCCCACCATAGACCGGGCTTATATCATGCATTTAGGGGAGTGCTGCATTTTGGGAGGGTGCATTTAGGGAGGTCTGACTGTACTATTAAAAAAAAACTAGACTTCAGGCTTTTGAACTGCTGTTTTCTTTTAGTAGCACTATCTATGTATTAATATTATTTATGTAAAATAAACTTATCTAAATATTTAAATATATTCATTGTTATAGTGTTAAGATTTTTTCTTTTTAACATTTTGTTTTTTTTTTATATTAACTAGCCTCTTTGGCATATAGGTTTTTATTCAAGTATATTGGGGTGGAAGGCTTACAGTGGAACCCCGAATTATATTAGAGAGTACAACTAGCCATACATGCAACTTTTGGTTGCCTATTTACATTTGTTAGTCAAAAGTACTGGATGCATGCTGTAATTTAGGCTAATTTATCTTTGAGGCATCATTGCTAGAGCTTTCCATATCCACAATCCGGCTAATCTAAACTTCAGTAACTTATGCCAAGTCCAAGAACAAGTATTTGCAAGCTGAAGCCACTACTGTTACCTACTTCTGCCCTTGTAGAGTTCATCTAAACCCCAGCACCCACTTTATAGATTCTCTATCATTTTTCTGGTCCCCAAACTCCCAATTCAGATAGCCTAGAAGGGTGGACTCCTTTCTCAGTATACACCTATGGCCTGGTTGGTATGGTGCTTTGTTGAACACCTCAGTTTCATCTGGTTTCCAGTTCTTTGGTTAATAATCTTTTACATAACATTGTTGAAAGTCTGTGCTACTTCTTTACTCAAAATTTGCCAAGTGGCTTCTGTCTGCCTCAGCCTTTAGATTTACCCAGCTGCTTCACTCAGGTTATGTATAACTTATACATTATACTAAATGTTCTATAGCCTCCCAGTACAAGCTGGTATGTTCAAAGCTACAGATCTGATGAACTATCAGATTATATACAGTTTGTTATAACACATTCTGTAAAATTCGAATTTCGTCACTAATAGGATTCAAACTCTTGTTCTGCCACTTAGGAGTGCAACAATTTACCAACCTCACTAAGTTATCATACTCTCTTTTTAACATTTTGTTAAAATTTTAAATAAATATTATATATATATAATTAATTTGTTAACATTCTTATTATTAATAATTATTTTCTAATGCTCTATTCTAAATCTCAAAGCTAATTTTAATGAAATAATTGTTGTATTATTGATTTATAATAAATAAAATATAGTAACATTTAGGTTATTAATCAAAAAACATTATATGCAGCATAATTATACACATATATATAATATAATAAATTTATATTAGGTTAAAATTAAGGGTAGGGGGTATATAGATCATTTTGTCATATGATTTTGTAGTACAACGTAATTTTTATAAGAAATAGAAATAGGTTACTAATAAAATTTTTTACTGTTGCAATTAATTTTTGTTAAATTTTTATAATATATAGATAAGAATATAATCTATATAATAATAAAAATTTTAATAGACTGCTTATCATCTGTACACAAAATTTCATCACAATAATTTTTAGTTTTTCTCACTTTACAGATAATTTTATTAAGTTAACAACCTTTTATCTCTTAATAACATTTATTTAGCTACTGTTTTTACATATATTTGTAAATTTTCAAGTCTGTATCTCTCATTGTTCTTGAGATATTTGATTTACAATAACAGACGGACAAAACTCTGTTCTCTCCCCAAAGTTCTGCCGTTTCTGGCAAACTGGGCTTAATAATATACTGATAC